AGCGAGCTCCCGAGGTGCTACCCGCTGCGCGCATTGGACTCCAAGTCGATACGAGCGCGCCGCGCGTGGAGCACGCGGCGCGCTCGCATCGATTCGCCACTTCCAGCGTGAGGTCGTGTGTAAATAGCTTCAAAGGAGGACCAAAAGGGATCTCTCTCCGTTCTACTAATGCCCTCGAAACAGGGACCTTTGGCAAAGGGGCTGGGAATGCTGCGCCGTCTCGCCCCGCCACCCCCCGCGCCGCCCGCGCCCGTCCGCCGTTCGACGACCAATACCATCGCGGGACGCGGGGGCTCTCTCGGCTACGGACGGCCTACGGGACCGGCCCCAGCTTCGGCTGAGGGCTGAGGTAGTGGTAGTGGTAGAGCCCGACAAGCTGCCGAGCCCGAGGAAGGAGGTGGGGTCCTCACCCGCCGTCACCCCGGCGGCCCGCGCACGCACGCCGTCTGAGCCTAGCGCAGCGCGAACTCGCTCTGAGCCTAGCGCAGCGCGAGATTTGCGCAGCAACCCGGCCGGGCAACCCTTGAAAATAACTTATTTTTTAATTGCCGCACCGGACCGGCCTTCGCTCCCGCCAACCCACTGCTCCCTCCCGCCGACACATGCAGGAGGAGGAGTCTCTCTACGACATCCTTGGCGTGCGTCCCAGCGCGACCGAGGCCGAACTCCGCAAGGCCTACCGGCGAGAGGCGCTGCTGTGGCACCCCGACAAGTCCACGGCGCCGGCAGAGGTCGCATCGGAGCGCTTCAAGCGCGTCTCGCACGCCTTCCACGTGCTCTCGGACGCGCAGCTGCGGGCGGCGTACGACGACGACCCTGTGCCCACGCGGAGGCGCAGCGGCGAGGACTGGGACTCGCACGCAGCGTGGGGCGCGTGGGAGGAGTTTTCGCAGGAGGACGAGCGGACGAGGCGGGCGCGCAAGCGCAAGGAGGCGGCGTTTCGCTTCGGCGTGTGCGCCTTCGCCGCGTGGAGCGCGGTCCTCGCGGGGCTGATGCAGCAGCGGCTGCGAGACAACCACCTGCTCTTCCCTCCTCCGCTCGGGCCTCTCTCAGCGAGAGGCCTCGGGGACGTCTCGCTCAAGGTTCCCTTCCGCAACCTGACGGCGCTGCTCGTCGCGAGGAGAGTCGCCACCCTCGACGCAGGCGCGGAACCCTTGCAAGACACTCTCCGAGACACCGAGACGCTCCCCACTGCCCGTGCTTCACCCGGCAGAGGGCCGCTCGAGGGTCCCTCGAGCAGACCCTGCCCAGACGCGCTCGGGCGGCCGTTGCGTCCACCCGCGCCCTCCGCCCCCCCTCTCGCCTCGCCCGCCTGGCTGACGCTGGCACCTCGCCGCAGCCTCTCGGGCGGTTGCGACGATGCCGGGGCTGCGCTCGCTCGCCCGCGCCCACACCGCCTACCTCAACCTCACGTTTGCGCCGCACGAACTGCAGCCGGTGGCGCGCGGCGCGGCGGCCGCCTCCGCGGGCCAGCCCGAGAGGGGAGCACTCGTCGCCTCGCCCCGGCGCGTCGGGGGGAAGGCGCGCTGCAGCCCTCGGAAGCCGAGGCTTGCAAGCCTCCTCCCAGGGTCAGGTGAGCACCGTGCGCCCTCCCGCCTCCAGGTGCACACCCTCTACACCTACGTGCACGCCCTCCTCAAGTGTGAACAGCGCCTCTTCACACCTCCAGCTGTGAACAGGTGCACACCCTCTACACCTACGTGCACGCCCGCAGCAGCGCGTACCACAGCCCGTGGCCGCCGCAGCGCTCGCTCTGCGTCCGGCTCCTGCGGCGCGCGCGCGAGCGGAGTTCGCGGGGAGATGGTGCGATGTGCCGCCTCTCAGCCCACGCGGCGCCTCGCTGTACAGGTCCGGCACCGTCAAGCCGGCGGCGCGGGAGGCGTGGTTCGACGACCTCTCCGAGAGTGTGAGCGGCCGGCTGCGGCCCTTTGTGATGGAGGCGAGTGAGAAGAGGGACGGAAGACGCCCAGAGACTGACGCCAAGAGACTGACACCTCCCTCCCGGACACCGCTCCGAGAGAATTGAGACACCTCCGACCTGCGAGGTGCCCGAGGTGCCTCCCGAGCCACCGCCTGCGCGGCTGCCTGAGCTGCCCTTTCCCCACGACCGTGCCTCCCAGGCGGTCGAGCCGGCCGACTGCCGCGCCGGCGTCGGCGCCGCGGCGGTCGCTCTCGTGCTGCTTGGCGCCGTGGGGCTGAGCTGGTGTAGCATGCGGCTGCGCGAGCGGCTGATGGCCGACCCGGTGCTCGCCTTTGTGGTGTCCTTTGTGGGCGGCTTCGTCGTGCTGTTTGGCTTTTTGCTCCTGTGACGCTCGACCCCCCCGTCGCCGTGGGGCGATGGAGGAATAGGTCCCAGATGCAGGGGGAAAGAGAAGAGGAGGCGCAGTGCCCGGAAGGAGGCTTTCAGAGACAGTGATCAGTGTGGTGGTCGTAAGACAGAGGAGGGTAAACTAAAAAATGCCCCAATAACGATATACTTCTTAACTTGAGTGTAAGCCCACGACCGAGACGTACCAAAAAAAACTGTTCAGTTTTCAAAGGCAAAACACAACGCTCTGCGGTTGGTGCACCCCTCACACTGACACATTCCCCTCATCCCCTACCCTTGGCTGAGCACATCTACCTGCGAGCTAGCATCTCCGCATTTTCTCTTCCAGTCATCCGCCCGCGCCGCGCGCCATCACTGGGCGTCTAGTGCAGCCACTGACAGAGCTATTCCGAAGGAGTGGTCGACGCCTCGCCTAGAGTTCGGGTGGACTTGCGCACTGCTTAGCCCTGAGGGGGGAGTGTGTGTGAGGTGGTGTAATGTTGTCCCGTTTCAGGCGGCAGGTCAGGGGATTAGCCGGGAGGATTCGGCAGCTCAGCCAGGGGCTGAGCGTCTGCAGGCAGCCTTCCGCCCGCGCCGAAATTCACAGCCCTCCCGGGCCGACGGGGTGCTCCTTGGATCGGGCCCCGCTCCCCGCTTTTCCTGTACCTGGACTGTCCGGGTTAGGAGGGTGAGAGTATTGGGTGGGCGAGGGCAGTACATCTGGCGGGTGGCGATTGAGGGACAGCGTGGGTTGATTGGGGGGTCAATGGGCGCGCGGGCGGCGCTTCGTGGTCCTGGGCGAGCAGGGGAAGTGGTTAGGAGTCTGGGCCCAGAGATGAGGCTTGTCGAGATGTCATGCGAGAGCGGTGGGTGGGCGAAAGTAGCGCGGCTGGAGAGTGGTGTCCGAGGGACAATGGTGAGTTGTCAGTTGGGGCGCGAGACGCGCGGGAATCATACTGTGTAGTGTTGTTTATTATGAGCTGAGTGCATGGGTGTATGGGGTTCAGAAATTTGTGGCGTCGAGGTTTGTGCATTGGTGGCTGGCGTAGCGGTCAGAGGTTCGCCTTCGGGCCGGTTGGCTGCGGGTTCGAGGCCGGGCGGGGGGGGAGGGGGGGGGCACACCTCACCCTCACCCCTCACCATCCTCAAATCCTCGAATCCTCGAGATCATCGAGAGCGTCGTGAGCGTTGATTCTGTGCTGATTTTTGCGCGCGAGCGTCGCGATTTTTGGTCTGGTTGGTCCGTCGTGGCCGGTGCGCGGGAAACTCGCCGAAAACCCGCGCAGCCGGCCGATTGTACGACCGAGGTCGCTGAGCCTTGGCGACGCGGCGCGCGCGTCGCCAAGGAGTTCGTAAAATGTCAGAGTTTTTTTTTGACCGAGACGTACCCTACGCCAACGCGAGCGGGACGAGGGCGCAAGTCCACGCGTGGAGCCCACCTTAAATGCAAATCCGTTATCCGGCCATTCCCCCGGCCATTCCAACGGCCAGGCGCAGGCCGCTCGCTTAAGGTTCCGCCCATGTGTCAGTTTCGGGGGGCAAACCCTGCCCCCCCTAGTGCCTCTCAGGTAAGGCCCAGGTGTGGCCTCTAGGGCATCAGAAGAGGGACCAAGAGGAGTCCAGTCTGCGAGAGCCATGCCCATGGGGCCCATGTCTCCCCCCCCCCAAAGGTCGCGTTCAAATGCCCGGAACGGCCGTCTCAGTGGTGTCCGGCCGGCGCGATCACCGAGCTGTGACGCTCAGGGAAGCCGGTTGAGGTACTGGTTTCTTACTTTGCCCAGGGCTGGCCTACGGCCCATGCTGGATCAGCTGAGCAAGGTTTTGGGGAGAGTTCTATTTTTCTATATCTTCAGAAATTTTCACGAGACCATAAAAGAATCTCAGGCTGAAACTCAGGCCGCTCGGCCCACAACACCGCGCTCGCCGTCTCCGTCCAGCTGCCAGCCTCTGCCAGGCAGTGGGCGAGCCGCCAAGCTGCCAGAACCTGCCAGGCAGTGGGCGATCCGTCCGTGCTTCCGTCTGCCAGGCCGATGCTCCAAGTGTAGCCCGCTCGAGAGAAGGGAGAAGGGCGGCTCCCTTGTACTGGGGGGGGGGGGGGGGGTCGGCTTCTTACTCTACACAGCCTCCCTTCCTCGCAACGAGCCCTCTCCAACCCACCATCCCAACCGCGCTTGGTCTCGGGGGACGCAGGGGTCACTCCCGCGCGACCTCGGGAACTAGCGGGGGCAGTCGGAGAAGGGGCGACTCGGTGCTCTGACGGTCATCGCCCAACACGGCCATCGCGTGACACCAGCAAATCCTTTGGCCGAGGACCAAGGGTGACAGGGTCGAGCGCGCGAGCTTGCGCCCTTGCGCCCGTTGGCTTGTGTGAACTCTGCTGAGTCTGAACGAGCTCCGCTCGAGTCTGATAGCCGAGCCGCCGCCGCACCGCACGCGCACGCGCGCACATCCACATGCACACGCAAAAGGTTATACATTTGCCGGCGACGGCGACTCATTATCACATGAAGGCCAGTCCATGAAGGTCGGAAGGGGGACGGTCATCGCGTAACACAGTCAGCCGCATTGTAGGTCACTCCCGCGTGTGAGTGAGTATCACACACAGACACAAGTCACTCCCGCGCGACCTCGGGAACTAGCCGGGGCAGTCAGACGAAATCGATAAAAAAAAGGCCGCCGTGTGACTACTCGAGTAAGGTCTACGCCCTTAGCGTGACACCACCAGCAAGCAGGACCAAGGTGCAGAGCGCGCGAAAGAGCAGGAACAGCGTCCTCAGAAGCCATGCCTCCCATCAACACCTTGCCGAGCGGCGACGCCTTCCTCCCCTCGCTCGAGCTCGCCGCTGGCCTTTCATGGGTCGGCGCCGTCTATATCGTCGGCCTCTTCTTGATTGCGCACTCAATCCGCGCCGGCGACAAGGCGTCACACGCGCTCTGCTGGGTATACGCGGCCGCAATGTGCTTTGAGGGCTTCAGCTTCATCATCATGACCCATCGCGAGCACGACGCCATGGCAGGGACGCTCTCTCGCGACCAGTACCTCTTCCGGACGGCACTGTGGGCTCTGTCGCAGAGCGTCTCTGGTGGGTTTGGCTGGGCGTGGGTCCTCCTCCTCTTCATGAGCGCGACACACCACCGCACGATTCTTGCCTTCGGCATCACCTCGGGTGTGCTCCTCGGCCTCGTCTGCGCCACCCTCACCATGACCGGCGGCAGCACGCAGCTGGAGGTCGTAAAGTGGGCCTGGCTCTGCTTCTTCGAGAGCATGCAGCTCCTCAGCCTCTTCGCCGCGGCGCGCCTCTTCCTCGCGCGGCAGGTGGCGCGATCGGCTTCGGGCCTCCTCCTAGCCGCTCAGTCTGGCATGCTCGCGCTGCACTTTTGGCAAATCTACTTCTCCACCTTTGACCACGAGGCGCGGCGCTCGTGGTCTAACCCGCTCAAGCTCTTCCTCAACATCCCGATCGTCCTCGTGCTCGGCATCGCGATCGCGCGCGTTGCGGACGATCCGGCGTACGCGGCCGCGGCCGAGAAGGCGGCCGAGACGTCGCGCCGCGCGATCACCCGCCTCTCGCGCAACTTCGCCTCTCCCGAGTATTACTGGGGCCTCACGCTCGTGGTTCTGGCGGCGGGCTACGGCTCCTCGGCTCTCTGCCTCCGCTTCTTCGCCGGCTTCGACCGCAACCGCGATCCGATCCTGCACATGTACTCCACGTACCACCCTTGCATCCTCCTCGACTACCTCCCCGGCACCCTCTTTGCCCAGCCCCTCTTCGACCTCTCCGTCCTGCTCTACCAGGTCGTCGCCGTGCTCGCGCTCGTGCGCACGGTCTGCATCGGCGGCCTCGGCGGCATGCTCCACCAGGCCCTGACCTCGGTGCTCCTCATCGTCGCCACCACCATCTTCGAGCTCGTCTTCACCTTCAACCCCTCCAAGACGTCGCCGCTCGCTCACTCCCTCCCCTTCATCGGCAACCAGTCGAGCATCGCCTTCTTCCTGCTCTCGCAGATGGCGCACGTCTACTTTGCCACCGACCCCGCCATCCCCAAGGAGAAGAGAATGCGCTTCGTCGCGTACGCGCTGATCTTCGCCGTGCTCGAGCTCGGCGGCATGGCCTGGATGGCCGTGAACCTCCTCACCAACCTCGGGTACGGCGAGAATTACGGGACGGGGATGGCGATCGACCCGAACGCGCCGGTCGACAACTCGCACATCCACTTCAAGGCGCTGCCCTTCATCCTCGCCGTGCTGCAGATCTTCAACCAATGGATCTACGCCATCACCTCGCCGCTCAAGTTCCGCCCGCTCGTCTTCGACATCCTCGCGTCGGACGTCGCCGCGCCGGCGCGCCTCACCGCCAGCGGCGGTCGCTTCACGATGAGCGACTCGCTCGAGGCGGGCCGCGGTGCGGCCAAGCTCAGCACGTGGGTCGAAGCAGGCGCCAGGGGCATGCCGCGTGTCACCATCAGCGCGCGCTTCTTCCTGAGCCTCTCAGCGGCCGCCATGCTCACGACGGCGACGCTGACGTACTTCACCACCGTCGCGGTGCTCGGCCACGAGGAGACGGAGGGCTGGGGCACGCGCGACTTCATGCGGCGACGGCCCGGCTCGGTGATCGCCGCGGTCGGGTGGGTGGTATGCGCCGCGCTCCTCGGCTGCCACGTCGCCACCGTCTGCGTGTACGAGCACATGAAGAGCGAGCAGCCCGTGCTCCTCGTCAAGCTGGCCGGCACCGCCCTCGTGGCGACGTCGCTGCTCGCGCACGCGGGCACCATCCCGGGCGTGCGCGAGGATTACTCGTGGTTCCTCGGGCTGGAGTCCTTCCAGGTCTGCCTCATCCTTTGGATCGGGATGAACCTGCTGCTCAATCGCTCGCTCGCCGCCGCGTCCAACGCGCCGTCGGCCGCGGCTCTCCGCCTCGACCTCGCCATGGGCGCCGGGGCCATCGCCGCACTCGCCGGGTCGATCGCGCTCGGCATCTACTCGGCGCCGTGCACCCTCCTCATCGACGGCGCCTGGATCCTGCTGTTGATCGCCTTCTCCTTCACCGACCCGCGCCGCGCCCAGATCCACCTCGACTCCCTCCACGTCGCGACCGACACCGAGGTTGTCGCGGTGATGGACGACCCCTTCCCGGGCGTGCCCTTCTTCATGATGGACTTGCACGGCATCAAGGCGAACCTTCGCGCCGGCGCAGCCGCCGCAGCCGCCACCGCCGAGATGAAGACGGCGGCGAGCGCGGAGATCGTCGTCAGCCCCAAGTAGGTAGGTGCGTCAAATGCATGAGTTTCAGCAGCATGGACAGTGGAGAGCTAACGGGGCGAGTCCGGGTGTACTGTTCATGGGGATCGTGCATGCGTGGAGATGAGAGGTGTAGAGTGCGCTCCAACGGGAAGGAGGGGCTCTGTCTGTGACTGCGAGATCATCATGTTCAAGAGGAGAGAGAGAGTCATGTTCAATGCTAGATAGAGCCTACATCATTGGTTAAGTTGAGTGCCCCTTGCTTCACTCGGATCTCAAAACAAAATGACGTGTGAGTGTTAGAGTTGTTTGGAGAGAGAGAGTTTGTTTGGTATTGCTAAAAATCTCTCGGATCTCCCACACCTACAAGTTCAAGTACATTCCTGTAGCGGGGCGACGACCAAAGGCTATTGGAGTTTCTTCTTCCTCTTGTGCGAGGGCGCAAGTAAAATTCTTCTTTATTCTTCTTTCCGCGAGAGACTTGTGTTCTTTAATTTTTCTTTCCGCTACTAGGAAGAGTATTGCAATCCTCGCGAAAATCGGCGGTCAAGGAGACAGACTTGACTGGGACAAGGGTGGTACAAGGGTGGTACGCCGTCGGGCACAGCGCTGAGCCGCTGACCGCTCTCGCAACCTTCCGCCGAGTACATGCCCTTCACCTTCATCTGCTCCAAGCAGCGGCGCACCTCGGATTCCGACGACGATACACCAACAGATCCTCTCCCACCTCGCGTTGGACGCTTCGTCCTCAGCGGCATCGTGCTCGGCAGCGGCGCCACCGGACGAGTCTACCTCGGGTTTGACGCCGACACAGGGCAGGAGGTTGCGATCAAGCAGCTTAAGGGTGAGCGCTCCCGCGAGGCTCCCGCCGAGGTCGCGCCACACCAGATCGTTTCGGGGCACCCCAATGTTGCGTCGCTTTTGGGTCACTACTTCTTCCGCGGACAGCACTTCATCGTCCTCGAGCTCTGCCGCGCTGGCGACCTTTTCTCCGTCGCGATGACCGCCGCTGAGGGCGTGTCGATGCCCGAGGATCAGTTGGCATCCCTTATGCGCGGTATGAGCGACGGCCTCGCGCATGTTCACGCATGCGGCGTCGTGCACCGCGATATGAAGCTGGAGAACCTGCTGCTCGACGACAGCGGCAGCGTCAAGCTGTGCGACTTTGGTCTGGCGCACGTGTTCAGGCGGGATTCAAACGGCCAGCCGCTGAAGGAGGCCATCAAGCGGCGTTCGGGCACAAAGTCGTACACTGCTCCAGAGGTGCTCGCGACGTCTGGCGACGGCTTCTACTTCGCAGAAGCCGCCGACGTCTGGTCGCTCGGTGTCTGCCTCTTCTCACTCGCCTTTGGCTTTTTCCCGCTCGATGTGGCCCACCCCGCGGACTGGAGGTTCGGGGCGATTCGGGAGGCGCAGGCGGCGGGACAGCCGACAGTGCCGGCCATCTTCGCCTTGTACCAACAGAGGCTGCCGCCCTGGTCGGCCGAGCTACTTAAGCTGCTTGACGGCATGCTGCAGATCGAGGTGAGCAAGCGCTGGACGATGCGGCAGGTGATGTCGTCGCGGTGGCTGCAGCAGCCGCCGCCGCCGCCGCTCAAAACGACGAAGAGCGGTCGGCAGGGGACCTCGCTCACGTCAGTGATTGACATGGACCTCATCGGGGTCTAGCGTGTAGCGACGCAGGCACCACCACTGTCCATACTGTATTTGCGAGAGCAGGGCCTCAGTCTCGCCTCGCTGCCCCCCGGCTGCACAGCAACCAACTGTACCGTGGATGACCCCACAGGGTACACCACCTTCGTACTGTCAAACACATATGCCATGTTCAAAACCACACCTCTCTCCTCTGGCCTCTCTCATGTCTCAACCTACACAGGTACATATGAGTTACACGATACAGTACCGAGTACGTAAAATTATCAAGTCGTGTCCATGCATTTGTCTAGATAGCCGACGCAGTCTGGTCGAGAAGCCCTTCCTCCAATAGCCAAAAACAACATACAAGAGGCCACGCCGCATCAGATCACGCGGAAATGCTGCGGCATGCGCAGCACGGTTGCGCGCAGCTGATCCCGAAGGCGGTGCCCGTGTACTGCCGCAAGTCGGCTCGCTCCAGCCCCACCGCCCCGTCAAAGGTGGCAAAGTCGAGGCTCGCCGAGAGGAAGGTGGTGCCTCCAACCGCCGCCCCACGGAAGCTGGCGCGGTCGAGGGAGGCGAAGGAGAAGTCGGCGCCGTCAAGCTGAGCGTTGGCAAAGTCGGAGCCGGTGGCGTCGCAGCGCGGGAAGCGCGAGGAGCGGAGGTTGGCGCCGCGGAGGTTGGCGCCTGGCCGCACGGCAGGTGTCGCACGAGACTCGGTTGTGCGCGGAGACTCGAGAGGGAGAGTGTGCGTGGGCTTGATTGCCGGGTTATGCGGCGTTTATCTTTGTGTGTGCGTGTATCCGCAAGGCGTGCGAAGCGCACCGCGCAGCGACGCACGCGGCGCCGCGAGCGCCTGGAGAGTGGCCCTTTCGAGATTGGCGCCTGCGTGCGGGCTGCGATCGTGAGCGGCGTGACCGTGGGGCGGCGGTGGCGGTGGCGGCGGTAGAAGGCTGCTGGAGGGGCGCCACTCTGCGGCGCGCCGTCGAGGGACGCCTCGACGAGGAAGGCGTGCGAGAGGGAGAAGCCTTCGAACTTTGTTTGGCGGAAGTACGCATGGTCGAGGGTGACGTCGCTCCAGCGCGCCTTGCGCAAGTTGGTGCGCCTGCTCACAAGCCGCACCTCCGAGTGAAGCGCGCGCCCTCCTCTCCTTCGCGAGAGGAGGCGCGAGGCCGCGAGGCGCACTCGAAAGTGGAGTGGACGAAGGACGCCCTGGCGACAGCCGTGCGGGACAGGTCGGCGGAGTCGAACGTGA